TAGCAGAAGAAGGAACTACATCGGCTCCTGGAGAAGGAGAAAAAGAAGGAACAACATCGGCTCCTGAAGGAGGAGAAGAAGAAGGAACTACATCGGCTCCTGGAGAAGGAGAAGAGGAAGGAACTACATCGGCTCCTGGAGAAGGAGAAAAAGAAGGAACAACATCGGTTCCTGGAGAAGGAGAAAAAGAAGGAACTACATCGGCTCCTGGAGAAGGAGAAAAAGAAGGAACAACATCGGTTCCTGAAGGAGGAGGAGAAGAAGAAGGAACTACATCGGCTCCTAAGAAAGGAGAAGAGGAAGGAACTACATCGGCTCCTGGACAAGTAGGAGAAGAAGGAACTACATCGGCTCCTGGAGAAGGAGAAAAAGGAGGAACAACATCGGCTCCTGAAGGAGGAGAAGAAGAAGGAACTACATCGGCTCCTGGAGAAGGAGAAGAGGAAGGAACTACATCGGCTCCTGGAGAAGGAGAAAAAGAAGGAACAACATCGGCTCCTGAAGGAGGAGAAGAAGCAGGAACTACATCGGCTCCTGGAGAAGGAGAAGAAGAAGGAACTACATCGGCTCCTGGAGAAGGAGAAGAGAAAGGAACTACATCAGTTCATGGAGAAGGAGAAGAAGAGGGAACTACATCGGCTCCTGCTGGTGAGATTTATTTTTACCTATACTTTTTGTTTTACAACATGTCCGTTTGGATAGCAACGTTGTTTTCTTTTGTTTTCCAAAGGACCTGTGGTCTCTCCAACTCCCATAGGTAAGTTGCCTTCTAGCTTTTGTTTAAATCGTTTCAAATGCCTCTTTTTGAGTTTTTTTCGTTGGATAATCCAGAATGTTTATTTATCAGTTGTTTTACTTTTTGTCGCGAAGGAGAAGAAGAAACTACATCCTCAGCGACGGGTAACATATCTTGTTATGTTTAATCTTCATCTCGCAATATCTGCCTGGGCATGAATGAGTAGCACCAGACTAAAGGCGTCGTTAAAATGAGAAAATATACCCTGGTATTGCCAGCTTTTTGTGGAAGGAGGATTCCATAATAATAATAATAATAATAATAATAATAATAATAATAATAATAATAATAATTTAATATTTATATTGCGCACATTGACATGTGGATATGATAAAATGCGCATCACAACACTTTTCGGGGGACTTTGGCCGGACTGCAAGAGCAGTTTACAAACAATCGAAGGAAACTTTTCTGGAGATGCCCCCTTCCCCGAATTCCCAGTAAACAGGCCAGACAACATCACAGTAATCTCGTGAGTGGGTTCTTTAACGTCCCCTGCCTAACCAAATTACAGTTTATTCATCCTTATCCGAGAAGACTAGAATGTCTATCCATTTCTTGATATTATAGAAAAGTAGCGCATTTTCCTCTGTTATTT